GACATCACCAGAGTGAATTTGGGTAACATTAAAGCCATTCTGTGTAAAATAGAGTAGGGTAACAGATTTCGGTAACCTTTTTACGCAGCCATGTGGGATTCAGTTAACCTGTTCACATTCAGGGGTTGCTTGCAGTTGCATAAATTTATCCACTATGTTAGGACAAACTAGTCTAAAAAAATAGCAGTTAGACAACTGGTAATGAGTCTCATTTTTAAGATTCAAGTTAAAAAGAAATCATTTTTTTGTTGTTGTTTAATAATAAAATGTGGGAGGGTAACATCATGCAGCTCTGTCACTGTATAGTCATGCACTTATGTGATCACAACTAAATCTAGAATGCATGTCAACATCAGAAGCTAGATTATCGCACTGATATCTGATCGTGTCTACTAATGATTTGGTGGTAGCATTATTTCACCATGCAAAAAATAAATTGCACACTATTGGCCACATCTAAAGCAAATTTAAGTAAAAACTGAATGTTGGCCCAATCACATGAACGTAGACACCGGTTGAGAGGCGTGTTCATTCAGATCCTGATGCTGCTCTGCAGTGAAGATGGCGGAGAGAGACGGCCATCTGAAACCCTTAAACGAAAAAATCCTTTAAATTGCATGCGGTCTACAGTAGAGCATTTGTGTAGTAGGTGAGTAAAAAAGAGAAGTGTGAAACTGCTCAAATTTGTACTCCTTCTACATTTAGTTGGTTCACGCATGGTTCAGTTGACGCACACGGCTAACACGGGCGAGCTAATCGAGGCATGGATCAATTTTTGCTAAACAAACACGAAAGCGCGCACGTAATTGTTTAAAAAACAGCTGCTTGTGAGACACAAAGTTGCAGTTTTTAATATCTGCGTGATGAAATGTAACGTTAACCACATTGCCTTCCGGTTCTCTTAGCCGACCAATTAGCAAAGGCCTTTAGGGCTTATGGTTCGTTATAATGCACTACAAATACAGTGTTGTTGTTTTTTGCTGACCTATTTATTTAGCAACAACACCCAATTTTAATCTCGACATGCAAACGAACAATTGTGAATCAATTGTGTTACTGCTTTCTGGGGCATAGGCCTACACGTTGTGAGGTAAACATTTTGGGAAATAAAAGGAGCATCTGAGAAGTTTTACCATTTAGATCCAGTTCTGTTGTGCTCTGAATGCCTCTTGATTTCCCATTTTCTCTTTCTTTCAGCACTGGCAGAAGATCTGGCCTCCCAGGATGGATAGTGCTTAGATGTGGGCAACGTTTAAGCTGAATGCATTGTGATTTCCAATAATTGAGACAGTGATTTCTAAAAAGCTGTCTACATTAATGAAAAGAACAATGTAGTCAGCTTATCATGTTCAACCATGTACATGAATATTGTTAAATAGGTGTCTACAGCTGTGTAATGTATTCGTGCATGTATTAGGGGCTGGATTTTTAGCTAAATTAGGCAGATCCCTTCCCACTTTAATTCTGTGTAGTTTTTAATAGCTTTAAAAAAAAAAAAATTAAACATGGATGTGAATGAGATTTTACCTCCCCTCCCATTGGAGCCACCAGATGCAGTATTGGCGGGG